AGGTGATATCACCACATAAACTGGTGGCGGGGTAACATTAATAAAAATAGGGACACTTCCCCTAGCAACTGGTTCTTTCATTCCCTTCTCGCTAACTCGAACCTGTGGGTTACTCATATGAAAAATGAGACATGACGAGGAAATAAGCTTCCTATCTTGAGTTCTATCGCACGATCTGGAGTATCAAAGAAGTGTGAATTTCCTAAATGTCCAAGTAGCCTCCCCATTATAGATTTGGTCGACAACACATCGATAAGAAGGGCACTACTAGACGCGGCTCCGAGACATCCTAAGACACTTTAAGACCTTAGGCTCTGATACCAAGTTTGTCATGCCCCAAACTCGGGGAGCGCGACCGGCGCTCAACCGAGAGAACCCGGCCAAGCAAGCCTATTAGATTTCCTTCTACCCAAACTCATCCATGAATAAAGAGGAGATGTACTCCATTAATCAAACACTGAAAAGATTTTATTAACAAATTCCACTTCATTCCATTAGTAGCTTCAATCATAATTTCCAAAATATTATGAGCTTTTAGAATTAATGAAAAATATGACTTCCAAATACCAACATTTCTAGTTCAATAACCAACATCAACCCCAACCCACAACGTGTCTACGGAGCCTCCAAGTACAATAGTAGAGTAATATGGAAATGTCGACAACAAGGCCCCGGCTATACCTCAAAACATAGTACATGAGAAACAAAAGATACATGACCCCGAAATGAAGTGGGACTCACCAAATCAGCTCAAAAGAGTGCACTGCAATCACTGATCAATTCCGCCTGATGTAGAACCACCTGCATCCATTAAAGATGCAGCGCCCCGACAAAAGGGACGTTAGTACTGTCGAATAACACTAGTATGTATAGCTAAAAGTCCTCTTTCAAATTAAAATGCCAATATAAGAAAAGGCAATACATAGAAACAGCAAGGCACAATCAACAATATCCAAATGTCCAGTTAAAACATAATAATTTTCAAAATACGAACTTCATATACAATTTTGGTTGGAAGATCATTAGCACCGATATACCACCGTCTTTGTTAGCACGGAGTCTAACCACGCCCGATCGGCTAGGCCATCTCCCCACGAACAATGTGGTTTGACATGTGATGCGAAAGAAAGTCGTTACTAAGAGTAGCACCACCATATGCGCAAGATGGCGTCCGATCTCCACCCGATCAGCTAGGCCGCCTTCCCACATATGTCGTGTGGGTTGAATTTTCCAATCCATAATTATTACCAGTTTCATCCCAATTAAGGGGAATAATATCATAATTTCTCCAATATTTCAATTTCATCACAAATAAAGGGAATAATCATAATCCACCACTACACCGGCACGTGTAGTTTCAGGTGTGGGCCTTATGACCCAACATTCCTCGGTTTTGCTAATGATGCTCCTAAAAATATTTTGATTTGATTTGGACAAAGAGGTAACATAAATAAAATTGTACTCACCTCAACATCTTTCACATTGTATAAATTCTCATTAGTATTTCCAGTCATTCACAACGACAATATTTCCTTGGCTCATTTGGCCATTCACAAGATTCTTTATTCCTAGAACGATGGTCGTATTTCATATTTCACACTTTCACCTCTTTCAATTTCAAAGATCACCATCAAATATCAACATATAGAATATTTCAGAAATCATATACTTCAAATCCATTTGAAATGGGAACTTCAAACATAAATGATTTCTTCCCAAAGAATGAGGCATACCAACTAACAATAGAAACACACATGAAAAATCATAAACAATCAATACACCATTAATTCTTGCAATACTCTTCCCCAGAAATGACAATGTACAATTTTAACATATGAGTATATAGAACTCGAATCACACTGGATATATTTATAAAGCAAAGCAATAGTTAAAGCAGCCACTAATGGGCATGAATTGAGTACAAAAGCTCTTAGGCAAATTCTATTTTCCAAATCACTTTTAAAACAGTGGAGTCGAGGCTCATTTCATATTCTTTATTGCATCCTCTCAAATCATTTGCACTACTTGACACAATCATAACTTAAATTCTTGGCATGTTGGCCACACTCTACATCCCCAATTCACTTATTTCACTTCCAATCATCTTTATAGATTATCAACAATAAGACATTTCCAATCAAGACTTTAGGTACACATATGAGCAATTAAGAGTCTTAAAAATATTGAGATTTTCTCACACAATTTGGCATCATAACCTTCATTTGGAACACGACTCAAAGACATAGCATTTTAATACGCAAACCATACTTTGAACAACTATCTTTCGATATAAGGCTCATTCGGAATAATCAAGTTTATAGGGAATAACCCGGAATATAGAAGTCAGGAATCTTGAGCCAATCATACTTGACCTTACAGAAACATTATGGAATTCAATTCTACGAGAGAAAGTTTAGCCAACATAGCTTACTTTGAGCTTTACTTAAATTACTACAATGTTCCAGAAATTCTAGCAATCCCAATCTATTTTGAGACATTACAAAATTGAACCATAATTAGGAAGATATTCATGGTCTCAGATCATTTGAGCATTTTATCAAATACTAGGTGCGCAAATTTAACTACAAGGTTCTTCTACAAGATTTTCTTCACTCCACAACTCAATCTTTACTTATGTGAGCTCAACAATCTTCCCACAAACCTTATTAGTACAAGCATGTATAAATAATACTCTTACACCCAAGAATCATACTCCCAATCTCCCATCTTTTACCCCAAACTAGAAATTGAAGACTAGGGGTTTGAATCTTACCTCTTAGATGAAGATCTTGTGAGATTTTCTTGTTGGATTTAAAAGCTTGGGCAAGATCTTGATGAACAAAACACTTCATCTACTTTCTTTCTCTAGAACACTCTCACTTTTCTCTAAAAAACCTCAGATGATTGCCTCAAAATAAGCCCCAAAGCCTATTAATCAAAATGGGGTCGGGTTATAAAAATTAAAAACTTAACCCTCCAAAATCAGGTCTGCAGTCGCATAATGGACCGTAGAATGGCTATGCGAGCCGCAAATGCACCGCAAAATCAGTTCCAAAAACTGGGCTGTACTGGTTTATTCTGCGAACAGTTTGCGGTCGCATAACCACTTCTATGATCGCATAATGGTCGCAGAATCGGTCGCAGAATCGCATTTTTCCATCCTTTGGTAATTTGGTCATAACTGCTTGTAGGAATGTCCAAATGATGAACGCTTTGAAGTGTTAGAAACTAGACACATAGATCTTTTGTTTGATAGGTAATACACCATATAAATCTTCATATCAAGAGAGTTATGCTCGTTTGAAATTAGGTCTTGTGCGAACTCAGTTGAAACTTTATCAAATCATAAAATTTTCAACTTGACTTAGCCTTGGGGCTCTTCTTAGACCATAAACCATTCTTAATACACCTCATACATATATTATCATGATCAATTGATATATTTCTTATAATAGCCCTTGTCTTTATACAAAATAATATAATTAGCGCACATCAACTTTCTTAATAGCGCTTAATTACTTCAAAAAATTTCGGGGTATTATAGCTTATAGCTGTAGCCCTTCATTTTCCTCGAGTGGTGGGTGTTCGTGATGCTAATGATTTCTTTGGTGCCATTCCTGCCAATTAACGAGGAGTTAGTAAAAGGCATATGTAACATATGGCGAAGAAATGACAGACATAAAATGTGCTACGAGCAGTTATGCGATCGTAGAACAACTATGCGGATCGCAAACCACAACACAGAAGATAACCATCAGAAGCAAAAAAGAATTATGGGGGCCGCAGAAGCGATCGCAGAACAAGTACGCCACCGCAGATCGGTCACATTTTGAACTTTGAACTAAGCTTGACTCTACTTAGGTCTGTGACCATTATGCGGTCCGCAAACCATTTCTACGGCTGCAGACTCAACCGCACCTTGGTTGCTACAAAATTCCCAAACACACAGAATGCGATGACTCTGCGGACCGTAAAATAGTTATGCGGACCGCAAAGATTATCTTCTCTTCTTAAAATTCACTCACATCAACATTTATGCAACACTAAGTAGCTAATGCTCAAATTTTGAGAGACCATTACACACACTCAACATCAGGTCAATTTCATGCTCAGCCTCACAATACCTAATGCAAATTGTCATAAATCTCCAACCCCCATGCTCAAATCAGTCCCCTAATACTAACTCCCAAATTTTGATTGACCCAAAGCATATATTTTCTCCCAAAGTTGATTCCCAATACAAGAGATAAGAAGTTGGGTAGATAGAGAAGGGTATCATGGATGAGAGGGGAGAATGAGGCGAGTGAAAACACACGACAATCTTGAACTTGACCGAGAAAGAGAAATGTTATAAATTTACATACCATATGTCAGACGATCGAGCAAGCCACTTTGGTGTGAATCGCGAGCAAGGTGAGCCTTTCTTTTCAAATTCTTTTTATTTTTCTCAGTGTTTTTCTTTTGTGTTATGTTTCGTGCTTGGGTGTGTGAGATTAGAGACGATAGATGGAACTGAGAGAGAGAAAGAAGTAGGGTTTAATACCTGAGGATTTTGCGGTGATAAGACCATCGCATAATATATTATGTAGGCGCATATGTGTTTTGCAATGGGTTAGTACCTGGGTGGTGCGCAACAGAATGATTCTGCGAGCTGCACAAGTTGAATTTCCTCTGCATTTTTAAGGCCCAATTTGAATGGTGTTCTTCTTGTGTCTACGACCATTATGTGGTCCGCGAACCCTTTATGCGGCCGCATATGTTGCCGCAGAACAATAGCTGAAGCTCAGCTTGTTTTCCTTCATTTTTCCTCTGCCTTTACATCCTATTTCTTTGTATTTTTGGTAACCTGCATTCTAACACACACGTCAAACTGTTCAACACTTACAAATAAACCTACAAAAATCAAAATCTAACCAAAAAAAATATTACCAACGCATGGGTTGCCTCCCAAGAAGCGCTTGATTTAACGTCGCGGCACGATGATGTTGCCCCCATTTTGGCTAATCAGTGGTGGGGATTGGTACAGGACCATCCTTGAGTGCGAATTGTTCTATCAGTTGCCTTTCTCCAATGGTTCCGAGGTAATGCTTGACCCTTTGGCCATTTACTTTGAATGTTCTAGTCCCGTCCTCGAATTCTAATTCAATAGAACCATAGGAAGACACACTCAAAACTTTGAACGGGCTAGACCATTTGGAATTGAGTTTTCCCAGAAAGAACTTCAATCTTGAGTTGAAGAGTAAGACCAAGTCACCGAATTTGAATTCCCGCTTCAAAATCTTCTTGTCATGAGCAAACTTCATTCTTTCTTTATACATGGTTGCATTCTCGTATGCATGGAAACTGAACTCTTTCATCTCGTTGAGTTGTGTCATCTTTAAATTAGCAGCTTCGGCCCAGTCAAGATTTAACTTTTTTAATGCCCACATGGCTTTGTGTTCAACTTCCACTGGCAAGTGACAAGCCTTACCAAAAACCAATCGATAAGGTGAGGTGCCAATGGGTGTCTTAAATGATGTTCGATTAGCCCGCAATGCATCATCTAGCTTCTTTGACCAGTCAATTCTGTTTGCATTAACAGTTTTTGCTGGAACGTTTTTGATCTCCCGGTTGGAGAATTCAATTGACCGCTTGACTGAGAATGATAAGGGGTAGCCACCTTGTGCTTAACTCCATATTTTGCGAGCAACCCGGGAAAATCTTTGTTGCAAAAGTGAGAACCACCATCACTAAGGATGGCCCTTGGGATTCCAAACCAAGTAAATATGTTCTTCTTCAAGAAGGCAGTTACACTTCTTGCCTCATTGTTCGGCAAAGCAATTGCCTCAACCCATTTGGAGACATAATCTACTTCCACCAAGATATATGTCATGTCGTAAGATCTTACGAAGGGACCCATGAAATCTATCCCCAACACATCAAAGATCTCGACCTCCATCACAAAGTTTATAGGCATCTCATGCCTTCTAGAAATTGACCCTTGTCTTTGACATTGATCACATGCCTTGACCATTTGGTTTGCATCTTGGTATATCGATGGCTAATAATAGCCACATTCAAGAACTTTTTCCGCAGTACGATTTCCACCGTGGTGACCCCCAACTGGGGAGTCATGACATGCTTTGAGAATTTGAATTACCTCATCTTTCGGAACACAACGCTCAATGATGTTGTCGGCGCAAATCTGGAACAAAAAGGGTTCCTCCCAATAGTATTGCCTACACTCCCGCAAGAACATATTCTTTTGATAAGCTTCCAATTTGTCGGGGATAAGGTAACTAACCAAGAAGCTAGCGATGTCGGCATACCAAGGAGTGGAGGTGCTAGATATTACCAATAAGTGTTCATCTGGTAAGGCGTCATTAATTTCAAGATCTTCTTTTGGTCTCCCTGCCTCTTCAAGCCTAGATAAGTGATATGCAACTTGATTCTCTGTTCCTTTACGATCTTTGACTTCAAAGTCAAACTCTTGTAACAAAATAACCCACCAAATCAATCTTGGTTTAGCATCCTTCTTCGCCATAAGGTAGCGGAGAGAAGTATGATCGGTATAGGCTATCACTTTGGATCCCAACAAATAGGCCAAGAATTTTTCAAAAGCATAGACAATAGCAAGCAGTTCTTGCTCAATTATAGTGTAATTCATTTGTGCACCATTGAGTATTTTGCTTGCATAGTAGATAGGGTGAAGAATCTTGGTATGTCATTGACCAAGTACTGCTCCAATAGCTACACCACTGGCATCACACATGAGTTCAAATGGAAGAGACCAATCGGGTGTGACAATAATAGGTGTCGTGGTGAGCCTTGCTTTCAATTCCTCAAAAGCTTTGAGGAACTTCTCATCGAACTCAAACTTAGCATCCTTTTTAAAGAGCTTTCACATGGGACTTGCAATTTTTGAGAAGTCCTTGATAAATCGCCTGTAAAAATCGGCATGCCCCAAAAAGCTCCGAACAACCTTTTTCGAAGTGGGAGGAGGAAGCTTGGAAATGATCTCGATCTTTGCCCGATCAACCTCTATGCCTTGCTTGGAAATTTTGTGGGCAAGAACAATACCCTCGTCCATCATGAAGTGACATTTTCCCCAATTGAGCACAAGATTTGTTTCGTCACATCTTTTGAGCACTTGACTAAGGTTGGCAAGGCAATGTTCAAAGGAATCACCAACTACCGAGAAGTCATCCATGATTACCTCTAAGAAGTCCTCCACCATGTCCGAGAAGATTGACATCATGCATCGTTGAAAAGTAGCTGGGGCATTGCATAGCCTAAATGGCATCCGGCTAAAAGCAAAGGTTCCATATGGACATGTCAATGTCGTCTTCTCTTGGTCCTCCAAGGAGGTGTTGATTTGGTTGTAGCCGGAGTAACCATCCAAGAAGCAATAAAATGACCTTCCCGCTAACCGATTAAGCATTTGATCAATAAAAGGCATAGGGAAATGGTCCTTGCAAGTAGAACTATTGAGCTTCCGGTAGTCCATGAAAACTCTCCACCCGGTCACCGTCCTCGTTGGGATGAGTTCATTTTTGTCATTTTGAATCACGGTCATGCCTCCTTTCTTTGGCACACATTACACCGGACTCACCCAAGGACTATCGGCAATGGGGTAGATAACCCCAGCATCCAACCATTTTATGATTTATTTCTTCACCACCTCTTGCATGGAAGGATTTAACCTTCTTTGAAGCTCCACACTAGGTTTGCTCCCGTGCTCCAATTATATCTTGTGCTCACAAATTCCGGCGGAAATCCCTCGGATATCCACTATAGTCCAACCAATGGCTTGTCGGTGCTCCCTCAAGGTATCCAATAAGTGTTCAACCTGCACATCATTCAACAAAGAAGAAACAATTATGGGTAGAGTTTCATTAGATCCAAGAAATTTATACCTTAAGTGCGGTGGAAGTGGCTTGAGCTCAAATTGTGGTGGCTCAATAATTGAAGGCTTAGCGGGAGGAGTGACTCTATTCTCTAAGTCAAGAGAAAGCTTCTTCACTGCATAAGTGTAGGACCCAATCCCTTCCAATGCATTCACCAATTCCACGTATCTTTCCATGCCCTCACCATCAAAATTTACCAAAATAGCCGCCAATGCCTCACCAAGGCATTCCTCTTCCATCTTTACCTCGACTACATCCTCTACCTAATCAACAACATCAATGACTGAGATACTCTTGTATGCATGTGGCAATTTCATACCCTTACTTGCTTGAAAGGTAGCTTCTTTGTCATTAACTCGGAACTTGATCTCATTTCATTTTGAGTCCATGAGTACCCTATCGGTAGCAAGGAAAGGTCTCCCCAAGATGATAGGGATCTCTTTATCAATAGCACAATCGAGAATAACAATGTCAGCAAGGAGGAGAAACTTCCCCACTTTCACAAGCACATCATCAACTATACCCACCGGCCGCTTTATTGAACGGTCGGCCATTTGCAACCCCATACTTGTAGGCCTAAGCATACCTAATCTCGCTTGCTTGTAAATAGGAAGGGGCATTAAGTTGTTGCTAGCCCCATTATCACAAAGGGCTCATGCAAAGTCACGCAATCCAATAGTGCATGGAATGGTGAAGGCTCCCGGGTCCTCTTTTTTTTGGACGGCGGTTGTTACAATGATGGAACTAACCCGGGAGTCATATTCACCACTTCATTCTTGGTGGTTTTATTTTTAGTGATAAAGTCCTTCAAGTACTTAGCAAAGCCCGGCATCTCTTGAAATGCTTTCACAAATGGAATGTTCTGATAATTGCTTTAGGATGTCATAGAACATTTCGAGTTTGCTATCATCAACCTTTCTAGCTAGTCTTTGAAGGAAAGGAGGAGGAGGTCTAGGAATTGGTGCTAGAGTTTTTGGTGCCTCTATTGCCTTTCCCTTAACCTATTCATAGTTTACTTCTTGAGTTCTCACCTTCTTCGGGAGTCTTTCAACTTCAATAACATTTGGCACCTCAACTTGTGCCTCGACTTCTTGTTCAAAATCTTCCACTTCAACCACTTGTTCATTCTCTCCTTGAAGTAGTTTCCCACTTCGAGTTGTGATTGTCATACAATGAGAAGTTTTACCACTCCCACTACCTTTTGGGTTTGCAATTGTATCACTTGGGAGCATGCCTTTTTGCTTCGGATTTTTGATCTCTTGATAGATCCATCATCTGCATCTCCAACTTTTGAATAGATGCGGTGTGAGAACCCACAAGCACAGTCATATTCTTCATTGAAGTGTCGGATCTCTCTTGATTTTGCAATACTCTTTCAAGCATGTTTTCCAACGTGGACTCACTTGAAGAACTTTCCTTCCAATATGGAGAGTTAGAATATTGCCCCTTTGGTGGAACATAGCGGTTTGAACTCCAATTTGAAAAATTGATGATGTTGTTACTCCAATTTTCTTGATTTGAACTACCTTGGTCTTTTTGCCACTGTTGGTTGCCTTGTCCTTGCGGGTTAGACCTCCATTGATGTTGTTGTCCAGAACCTTGGTAGGGTTGTTTTTGATATCTTCCTTGAGGATTGTTGACATAATTTGCTTCTTCGTATTCCTCATTTGACATGGGTTGCACATCTTCCACAACATTCACCTTTTTTGTTTGGCTTTCAGTGAATATTTTCATCAACACGTTGACATTAGTGGCAAGCCTAGCAGTTACTTAATCTCTTTCTTGGTTCTCCTTAATCATGTTATTCAAGGAAGGAGTACCATATGCAATTCCACCCATGATATCTTCCGAGTGCCAAGCTTGGTTATGTTCTACCATCTTGGTCTAGGATTTGTGTGACCCTTGTAAATGTTTTATCCATAAAGGATCCATCCGCTATATTTTTGGCTATGGATTGATTCATAGGATCCAAGCCCATGTAAAACTTCTCCAATAAAATATTATCCGGAAAGCCATGATTCGGCGACCTCACCAAATATAGCTTGAACCTATCCCATGCCTCATGTAAATTCTCTCCATGTAATTGCTTGAAGAAGAAAATTTTATCCTGAAGCTCGGACTTCTTGCTTTGCTGAAACCATTTTGCTAGGAAAGCTCGGACTAGTTCGGGCCAAGTATGGATGGAATTAGGAGGTAGATCTTGGATCCACTATCTTGTCTCTCCAGTTAGAGAGTACTTGAACACCCTTAACCTTAGGGCATCATCTGAGATACGATTCTGCTTGTGCATTGCACACACACCCAAAATACTTATGAGATGTTATGTTGGATCATCGTCGGTGGAATTTTGGAACAACCCTTCTGCCTTTAGCATTAGGATTAGATTGTGTTCCACTTTGAAGGTGGCAGCATCAACTCTTGGAGGGACAATGAAATTTGTATCCTCAATATATTCATCCATATCCGCAAACACATTCTCCTCTTCCGGCTCGCCCATGTTTACCTAATGGCACCAAGCAAAGCAAGAAAAGTGTGATGGAATAGAAGAAGACGTAAAGTAAAGCACACAAAAGTTAGTAATTTCAAAACAGTAATTCCCGGCAATGGCGCCAAAATTTGATACGCTCAAAATACACCTATATAAATGGTGTAAGAGGTCGGTATCAAATATAATAACCCAACTAGGTTGGGATCGAATCCCACAGGGAATAGGTGTGAAAAGGTTACTTGAATAGTGTAAAACTTGACTTAAGCCGTAGTTCTACTCCGTTAGTTTAAAAAAGAGTTTTGTAATTGTGAATTGTCAAGAAAAGCTATTTTGTTAAGAGAATTTAATTAATTTGATTAATAAATCAAGGTTGTTTCCCCATCAATGGAATGGAATGCTATCGGTGTTAATATGATATATTTCTAATGGAAGGTCCTTTTATATGCAAATGGTTCCTAAATGACTAACCAATATTTTTCAATAATTAGGTAGTATTTCCTCTTTATGATTTTTCCAAATATAAAAGAGTTATAATTAATAACATCCAATTTATGCCAAGTAGAACACACTTATCCCTAAGTGATTCTATTAAACAATGTTTAAAGCCATGAGTTCTTGCTATTCAATTCTACTAAACCTAACCCACTTTTTCAAGTAAAGATAGAGTAACNTAATATTACACCCACTTAGGGTCCACAACCTTAGTATTTAAAGTTAGCTACTCATACTAGAATATAAGAACAAAGTAATAAATAAAGTCATAAAGCTTACAAAGAAAATAAAGTCTTGGATTCTTTCTCAAAAGCTTCCAAAATAATAGTGTATTCAATTCTCTAATTGTAGCCTCTTTTTCAGGCAAGATGGTCCATAAAAACCCTAATCATTCTATTTATAATGGTCTAAAAGTCGTGGTCAAAAAGTGATAAAAATGACCTTGCAGATCATGTCTGCGATTGCAGAATGCGTCGTAGAACGCTTTCGCGGTCCGCGCATCTTCATTTTTCACCGCATAATTGATCACAAAGTTTTTCAGTTTTCCATCGCATTGTGGTTATGCGGTCCGCATATTGGTTTCGCAACCGCATAACATACCGCAAAGTCATCTTCACTAGAACTCCTTTTGTATTTGTGCGATCATTATGCGGTCCGCATAAGCGTTATGCAACCGCACAATGGATCGCAGACTTGACTCTCAGAAACTGGGATGATCTGCTTCATTCTACGATGGATTTGCGGTCTGCACATCACTTTTGCGGTTGCAGACCTCCCGCATTTCTTCCTTTCCATGAGTTTTTTTCATCTTTTTTATGTTCTTGGTTCTTCAAGTCTGGTTTCCTGCAAAATACCAAAACTATATAAGAATTGACTTATAATGCTTTAAAAGATGAGCTAAAGTATATGTAATTAGTATCAAAAGTACCGCATTTCTATGGTACATTAGCGGACACCATGCCGCATATGCAGCTCCGCTTCTACAGAAGTTCCTGTGCGCCTGTGCTCCACAGTCTGCACTTGCGGACCTAGACCTTCCAACCCAGCACCGCATATGCGACCATCCTGACCGCTTCTGCGGTCACGCACATGCAGCCCTACCTTCGCAGGTGCGAAAAGCAGCAGTAATCAGAAACATTCAGTCATGCCAACATAACCAAAATGATCCGAAAACTCATCTGAAACACACCCGAGACCCCCGAGACCTCATCCAATCACACCAACCAAACTCAAAACATAAAACGGACCTACTCAAGGTCTCAAATCACACAAAACAATATCAAAACAACGAATCATACCTCAATTCAAGCCTAATGAACTAATGAACTTTAAACTTCCAAAACTCATGTCGAACCATATCAAATCAAATCGGAATGACCTCAAATTTTGCATACAAGTCCCAAATAGCGGAATGGACCTATCCCAACTCCCGAAATAAAAATCTGAACCTGATATCAACAAAGTCAACTCTCGGTCAACCTATCAACCTTCTAAACCTTTAACTTTTCAACTTTCGCTAATTCAAGCCAAAATGACCTAGGAACCTCCAAATCCAAATCCGGACATGTGCCTTAGTCCAAAATCACCATACGAATCTATTGGAACTATCCAAAAAAATACAATCCAAAACTTCACCGAAATCAAACTAACCAACCCGGCAAGTCACATAACCACAAATGCACATATGTAAGGTATTAAATAGGGAAAACGGGGCTAAAATACTCAAAACGATTGGTCGGGTTGTTATATTTATCTTATGATATTGCTATTTAGTATTCCAGACAATGTGTATTTAGTACTCTATAGAGATCATGCACTCGGTGATATCATTATGGCTTCAGTTATTTATGTTATTCGGCTATTTGAGACTATTTCATATTATTGCTTATTCACCAAGATAGTTTTGCTCGCTCCTGAACTCTGCAGTGAGTTCAGTCACCACCTCTGGGTCTGAGCTCTACTCGAGCATAATCATCCAGCTTCATGACTTTGCTTAGCTTCTAGCGCTTCAAAGGGATAACCTTTCACTATCTAGGCGCCCTCGAAGGAGGAGTCCCACTTAATTTCGCATATTTGATGTTGGCTTGCCTAGCAAGGCGGTGTTAGGCATCATCACGGCTCTGATAGAATCTTGGATCTTGATATATATATATATATATATATATATATTGAGTATCTTTTGACTATACTCTCGCTACTACTTCATTGAGAAAATTATTAATGATATTTATCGAGTATTGTGTCACTGTATTCATACTACACATCTGCATATTTTTGTGCAGCTTATGGTCCCAGCACTGGTGGATCACCTGAGTAAGCTTAGGAGCTGATCAGGAGACTTTACAGTAAGTTGCCTTGCTTGGTTCACAACCATTGAGCCAGCTTCTATCTTTCATTTACTATCGTTCATTTGGGATGACTTTGTACATTATTTTTTAATAGCTCGTGACTTTTACTATCAATTCTTGAGGGTTGCTTTAGCACTTTGTTTAAATTATGACTGTTAGACATTATTATTGTCTCATCTATTGGTTGTTGCATATGTTGATTTGCCTAGCAGTTGAGTTAGGTACCATCACGGTCTTCGTAAAATTTGGGACAGACGAGGGTAAAATTCAGTAAGAAGGTAGAGAACAAGACCTAGGAGAAGCTGGATTATGTCCATTTAGACTATTGAGGTCTGAATAATTTTCACTCCAATAGTGGTTCTATATATTTCATGACTTTGATTAAGGATTACTCAACAGTGGTATGTGTGTATTTTCTAATATAAATGATGATGTATTTTTTTTAAATGAAAGGCGATAATTGATACAGACCGATAGAAAAGTGAAACATCTTCGATGTAATAATGGGTTAAAATTTTACAATTTCAAGTTTAATAATTTTTAGAGTAGAGAGCATAGTGAAATACCATTGTGCTAGAATATATGAAATTTATAAATCATCGTATCAATGACTTCATAGAGCTAGAAATTGAATCCCGACGAGCTTAGCCCGATAATTTAAAAGTAGAGGAAGTAGAGAAAGTGCAAAATCTTGGTCGAGATGATGCACCTGTCCCACGTCAATCGTATAGCATTGCAATAGGCAGAGAAAATAGAGTAATCAGACCATAGTTGATAACAATCTTCATGGATATGTAAACCATGTAGATGTTATTTTTTCGATTTCACAGACAGTTTATTTGTTGGAGCCTAATAGCTATCCGTAAGCTATTTTGAATACAGAAGCAGATCAATCGAGTGGTGTTACGCATGAAGATATTGAGTCTCTTAACTAGAATCGGGAGATGATTTTTATTTTTACATTTCACTGGTTGTTAGTGCATGAGTAGATACATGGTGTATCTTGATAAATAAAATTAGTAGGGACTGAAATAGATCTTGAGTTACTTGAAGGGTACTACAGTTCCGGCCAACAAGTTTAGGCATTGCTTAAGCTTGATTGATGTATAAAGTACTAAGTAGAGCCCTTACAAAGGCTGAGGATAAAGCAGAGAGATTTTATTTCTATTGATGAAGAGAACTTAAGCTAAGCCAAGGAGATGATTTGTTGTTTGGGTCTTGAATTTTGTGAATCCTAATTATGTCAAATTTTCTGGTGGATTTGGAGAACTCGTTGTCTTGTAAGTTTGGGAACCCTTTTCCTCGGTAAGTTTGAAAAATTGTAATTAGAGATTTATTGTCAAAGTGGAGGACTCTTTCTCATTAAATTCTTATATTATTTTTTTCTCTATTAAATTTATATGTGA